TTACAGTTGATTATAGTTGGGGCTCCCTGTGCTTCAACGTGTCAATTGACACTCAAATGCGCATTTTATAATTCATACTACTACTGTAATATTGTTTACAAATTATTATTCCGGTAATTTTAATTTTTTTTTCTGCTATATTATCAACACTGTACTATATTATTACAAATTCCGTGCATAAATGAAATAAACATAGACAAAAGAATTCTATTTTGGAAAAAATAAAGTGTTTAAAAGGAATTTATGCACATAAACAAAACAAGACAAAGTACTGCACCACCTTTTGTAGTACTGTGTTGCAAATTCACTGAAACCTGACGTTTATGATTGCTTCAGAAAGTGTCCAATGTTGGCTAACAGACCCATCGTAGTTTTTCTGAAAAAATACATCTTCTCAATGAATTATAATCACACTACTGGAGTCTATTTAATTGAGATAAAGCCTAATAAGTCAAAGCCATATTTTTCTCTCTTCAAGCTGTAGAATAAAACTAATTATCATTAGGAGTAGGATATTGAAAAACTAATGTAAAATCAACAAGTTGTATTGAAATGTAAACTTTTGAATTATGTTACCAATAAAAGTTGCTTGAATACAAAAAAATACATATATATTGTCTTTTTTAATTATGTTATAAAAATAAAGTTTTAAAAATACTCATATCATAGAAAATTTAGATTTAATTTAATGAAATAACCGGCCTATATTCTAAATAATGAGCTACTAGTCAATGCCAATTACAACGGAGGAAATTGTTACTTACACCAATATATATTGTTAAATATGTATAATTATCTATATATTTGTGGAGTATGAAAAGCGTCTGCAATTGTCTTGAAATACCCGCACTTGTTCTCTTACTGTGACGTGAATAGTTGACGAGGACTTCAAAGGTGACAAAGGTTGGTGTATTTGCATATTGACTCATTGCTTTTGAGTGGGGTCAGCGATACAGTGCGGGTACGGTGTAAGTGATGAGACAAGAGTATTACACGTTGAATAATTTTGATGAGACCATCCCTTCGTTACGATATTGTGTATATTATATATAGCTGCATACCCTGGTCAAAAAACGAAACGGAGGCTACCGGTGAGTCTGACCGTGCTGTGGACGTGGCACCAACTTATACATTTTGAATCCATATCATTCTGATCCGGTGACTTGTGTAAGGGTTTCAACTGTTAGCTACTATCATGACGTCACTACGTAATATTATAACCGTGGAACCCGTGTGTCTACTCTTCGCATGGTCTATGTTTATGCAAGGACCCATTACGCAAAGCCTCATAATGAAAAAGGTCTGTGCCGATTTGTACAACGAAACAGTATGTACACATCTTGGCCAGTACCCGGATGCTGAGAACCAAGTACACTCCGTCTCCTCTCACTGGATATTCTTCACGGTTCTGGGAATCTTGCCAAGTGTCGTTACGTCGATGTTTATTTGTTCCTGGAGCGACACAGTCGGGCGTAGACTGCCTATGCTCATACCGTCTTTCGGTGCTACTCTGGGTAGCATAATTCTAATTCTAAGTTCTGTGTTCATGCATTTGCCATATCAGCTTATAGTAGTAAATAATATATTAGTTGGACTGGGAGGTGGCTTCGGCACGTTGAACGCACTGACAATGAGTTATATAACAGATATCACAGACACAACGAATCGAACCAAGCGAATCGGAATTGTGCATGCCATGATTTTCCTTGGCGGTACGCTTGGACTTGTAACCGGCGGAATCGTACTGGACAAATTTGGATATGCCGCAGTCTACATCCTATACCTGTCCCTACACCTTTCTTTACAATTGTATGTCATCATGTGGATTAAAGAATCTCTCCAGTCCAAACCGCATGATGGCGCTAGTGGCGAACCACAAAAAGTGCGATGTGGTGGACTGTGCAATTTGGAAAACCCTAGAAGAGTTTTTAGTGTAACTTTCAAGAAAAGGAGTGGAAACAAACGAAAACATCTTCTCATTCTTATCTGTATCAATATGCTAGTTATATTATGCGTGTCAGGTAAGTGTATGCCTTTATAAGGATTTGTCATATATGTATTTTTGAATCTACAATACTTATTTTTAGTCCGCCAATCGTGTTTATTTTGTTTATTGCTTTAAAATTCATTACTATTTCGTGGCGACGGTCTCAACAAATGTTTATCTGCAGACCGATGTTCAAGGAATGCCTGGTTTTCCTTTTTTGTATGACATACTTTGAACAGCTCGTGACGATGATGGTGCATTATTATTGTTATTTTCAAGTACTTTCGTAAATCTCGTCGCACGAATTAATTTCTAATTGTTATTGTCTTTTGTGTTCAGGACAAATGGATCTGATTGTGTTGTTTACTAAACACAGTCCTCTTTCCTGGTCTGGTTCGCTGATTGGTTCATATCTTGCTACAAACAACATTCTCACGTCTCTCTCATTATTGGTGGTTTTTCCAATATACATGAAATGTACAAGTGAAAAGACAAGATTGCACGATATCACATTGGCCCAGATTGGATTTGGATTTCAAGTTATTGGCTTCGTTATCGTTTCTATCGCCGTGGTAACTTGGATGATGTTTGCAGGTATTCGTTTACCATATGATAGAATTTTTCTTCTTATTCTATAACCAGATCTATTTCCTGTGTTGATTAATTCACTTCAACTCAATTTTACGGCTGATCTGCACTGGCTCGGAAGATGAATTCTGATTGGCTAAAAAAACAAAAAAACTTGTGGCGTTGAATGCACGTTCATTGTCAGTATTGTTATGCAAATTCAAACTAGCTAATCATTTACAACCTTCCGAGCCAGTGCAGATTAGCCCCAATTTTAATCTGCCGGATTAGTTTAAGGATGTAGTAGACTTTCGTTGGACAAAACAGAAAAAGCTTGATAAAAATAAACAATAATGATTAATGACTAACAATTTTTAACTGTTATTGTAGCCCTTGCAACACTCTATCCAAAAAATATGATAACACTAATGTCAACGTTAATTACGTCACATGACTGATAAATAAACAAAATCGATTCTTCTGCTAGTTTACTGTTACTAGAAAACGAAAACAGTTAGCCAAAATATTTTTATGAGAAAAAGAAGACTACAATGTTCTCAAACATAATGTAAAATAGATAGATTCTGAATTGTTTGGTTCTTTTACAAAGTGGTGGAGAAAAATTCTGTAATAAATTAGAGTGCTCTGTTTTCACAGGTCAATTAGTCACGAACTATTACTGATACTTAAAAAAGATTTTACATTTTGTTTTTAATTGATCTTGAGTTCAATCTCTGAAAAAATCAATGAAATTGGACGAGAACTGTTCGCGTAATCGTTATTTTTGTGGTTTTAGACAACTTTTCAAAGGGCTGAAAATCAAAAACTAAAAGTAGCACAGTCGAGAGAATATGTTCTGTTCAGCGCATCGCAGTCAGTTAGTTGTTGATGTTTAAGATAGCTATTGTGTTGGTTTTATACAAATTTAACTGTTAATATTTATTTGGTATTATTTATGAATTTGTTTTAGCTTCGCTGGCAAATTTGGTTTCAGCATTACCAATGGTCGTTTTACCATCCCTGCGTTCACAGTTGGTCTCTCCTCATGAGATGGGTAAGTCAAGCCAAATATTCAATTTAAATTTAATTTTTATTTATTTATTACGTTCCCATGGTGATGAAAATGTTCTACCTTAGTATATGTGTCTGCGTGATATACTCGCACCCCATCATGCCCTGATGGCGTCCTTAATTTTCTGGAGGTACCGTTTAGACTGGTACTAGTTTCAACGATGTGCGCAGACCACTACCTTTTTTGTTTCTGATTATAACAGACCCTCTACTGGAGGGTCTATGATTATAAGCACTACATATTGTGTATATATATATATAATTATTATTACTAGTGTAGTATTTCGTGAATGACCCGGATGATATATTATATGTGCAATATATACAGTAATCAAAGAGATAGTTGGCCAAAAATAGATAATGACCAAAAATAAAAAAAATTAGATCGAAGCAGAAAAATCTCGGCAATTGTCTGGAGCGTCTACGCGCGTACAAAACTACTGTTTCAATGTTATATCTAGAATCCTTTCTGAGCCGAAAAATATGCACATATTTTATTTGATAATGATTGATATGTATCAGCTGTGTATTAGAATTAGACCTAATTATTCAACCACTATAAGTCTCCACCATCATCTAATAATAACGTTTGTATTTGTCTTCAAATGAAAGACCATGGGTTTATTGAATGACCCTCTCACAGATCACATTTTTTTTATAAAATAATATGGATTCCAGGTGCAATGTTTGCTTTGACGACATCAATAGACCCTCTGTTTCTTATAATTGGTTCGATGCTATTCAATAATCTGTATCCGGTGACGTTATCTTACAATCCAGGGTTTAGTTTTATGGTAATGGCGATCATCACGTGTATTCCAATTCTCCTGCTGCAGTGAGTATTAAAACAGGCCCTGGGCCCAAACAGCCGTACCCCGGTCGTGCGTTTCAACGCGCCCTTTACGACGACCTGTCGCGTGTTTGGGGTTGACGCAATCTAACTGATCTTTTATTTTTGTTATTAATTTATTGAGTCATCACATTATATATTATGTATAAGATATCCCCAGTGATTCCAGTCCTATGCTGTTTCCTGTACGATAACCACCTGCGAAGTGAATGCATTGGATATATATATAGATTGACAATGTTTTTGTTCTTATTCTGTAGATTAATAGGCAGTGATGTAAGAAAAGCAAATAGGTTAAGTGAAAAAGGTTCGTATTGAGACTGCATGCTGGCACGGTGATATTGACGTCATTGTTTCACAAATAACAGTGTCACTAATGTGGATATTCAGTAAAAAAAAAAGGACTCATAAATTTCGTAGTTGACAAGCGTTACAGCCCAGGGTGTAATATCTTAATATTAATTTATGCTTCCGGCAGAGTTTCTATAGAGAATCTCAGAAACTGTTGTTTTGCCGTACCGTTACTAATGCTATGTCAACGTCTTCTTTCGTTTTCAGGTGACGTCTTGGAAGCCTTGGTGGAGCAACCGGATTCCGAGGAAGAGATTACCAACTGAATCGCCACCAAGCAACAAAAGAAGCAATCATTCCAGGGGAATCGCCACCCAGTGCAATCTAGGCAGTCAACACGGGACTTACAGGGACGATAAGTCCTAGTCAATAAAACCCCGTCGTCTAGTTCGTCGTGGATCGACCAAATCCAACCAATCAACAAATTTCACCCATAACACTGTTGTATAGATTTTTAATGGACTTTGACCAATAAGATTATAGTTCTATGTTCTGAGTATGAATTACATCCTAGTTTGAGATGCTGTCCTCCGAAGGTCGGATATTAAATGCAATATCAGCCTCGGGCTCCGCTACCTACGTGTTATTTTCACAAAGGCGTTTAAACAGGATGCAACTACTTTGCCGACTATCAATTGAATAAAAGTATTATATTATTTATTATATGACTTATTTGTTCAGAGTTCCCTCACTCACAGTCAGTTAGACAACTCTTGTATTCGGGATACAGCTGTTCACCGCATACCAATTGGACAGAAATGTTTTGCGTACATCACGTTTTCCCTGGACGCTGTTTATCTTGATTGCCCCTCAGCAGAATGTATAAAAAAGTGACATTAAGTTCCATTCCATTCGATTTACTTACACTTTGATAAAATTACAAAATAGTACTGTCCCAGTACGTGAATGACAATACGTGTGTTCATATACTCAGTGGCAACAGTGTTTAATCTATGTGTCATACCTTTGGAATTTGGCATGTAGGCCGCACCAGGATGCGAGTCAGTCGAAACAACACAAACAAATTAGTTCTCCGGGACATTTGCTCGCTCGTCATTTATTTACCAGTAGTTACAGCCAACGGGCGTGATTTTTTACTATAAATCTTGCTAGTTGAATTACCCAACTTAGAATAACAGCGGGACATACAAGCCTTTTCATATAGGTTTTCCACCTTATCCCAAAAGTGCTTCCCAAAACTATAAAAAAAAACGAAATGATAAAGCATAACATTTTTAATGACGCAAACTTCATATGCGGACAAGAATGGCGCTGATAAAATAATAAAAACTCATTGTAGAAAGTCACGTCATATGGTCTATGGACAGATGAAGGCAATTTGCAGTGTCGTGAAAACATGGCCTGTATGGCACCTGAGCAACCGAATAGCGTTCTCGTACACTACTTTTTGGGATAATAGCTGAGCAATACATGTACATATAATTGCATACAGTATCTTGATTGTCTTTTAGCTTCGCCATTCACTCACATTTTATTTTATTGAAAACCCCAAAACAAAATAGTCAGAGAGGAATACACATCTCAGTACCGACACGGTGACATTGGGCAAACACACACAATGACAAACAACCAAGACGTTGTTTGGATGTTACTTTGGATGTTTTGAATGCACGTTTTGTATAATCTCAATAGCATTTTGTTTAAGTTTGAGCTGGTCGTAACGAATACACATCACAGAGCTTATTTTCACAAGATTCCAAAATTCGTTAAACGTCGTGTATTTTGTTACTCCTACTGATCAACAGTTTTTGGATACTACTTCTATGTGATATATGATTCGACGATTAACACACGAGACTATTAATGTCTCAATGACGCCGTATCACTCAGGACGTTCATTAAATATAGTATATCCGTACCTTTTCGTTTCACCCTAAAAGGTATTGTCCTACCGTAAGAGCCTATTTGACTAATTTCCTGTTGTATGCAGCGTACGCCCCGATTAATAGTCGCGCACATGTATGAAGTTCACGGATTATCCACATGTAAGATTTATGTCAATTAGTTTTGTAGTATCGCTCATGGTAGAATAAACCTCAGACTTGTATACTAGTATTAGTCTGAGAATAAACGAACCAATACATTCCGAAATGTGTGTACCCGTATTGCGCATTGTAGCTGGTTGGCCATCATTAGCATGTTTTACCACTTCAAGAAATGCATTTGCCAAATAGATTTAGGATTGAGCATTTGAAATTCGACTGAAACTCATTTTTCTATGCCAATATGGCAGCATTTGTTTTTTCTCGACAGTGTTCAGAGGCGCTGGCACGACATTTTGCATTTAGGAGTGACGATGCAGTAACACCTCACCTCCCAAGGGTCACACAATTTAGTAGGTAAATACTACTATTATATTTAGAAAAAGACTAAATCATGTAACCACAATCTTTCTAAAAGGGGTTCATATTTTTTTTTTGTGTGTTTCAAAAAAATCCTCCAGTCCCTCCTATTATTCCAAATGGACAAACCTTCTGTAACTAGATTCACGCGCTGGGATCAAGAAAGAAAACCATTGACAAGCTGGAAACCACTTTTTAAAATTCGTTTTACTCATTGAAGAACACAATTAATGGTGACCCTTTTGTTATCCCGTTATTTATTATACAACTTATAATACTTTTTAATTATGTAAGTTAACATCGGACATCACATGCCCGTTGGAGTTTGCGTCTGCCAGAGTCTCAAGTACTAGTATGTGTTTCCCCGGGGGGGGGGGGGTTCACTCTATATGATGTTACTACCCCATGTGCGCTCCAAATTTAGCGGGAAAGCGGGGTGTTTTTCACCTTCCAGAGCGGGCCCGCGCGGGAGGCAAATAGGCCCAGTTAAAATGCTAATGTCTGCAATAAGCCACCAGAAATAAACTCACAGGGTTGCTGCACCCGCTGTAGGCCCGCTCTTGCAACAAGCACTCTCATACACCGCCCTAGGCCCAGAATTGGCGGACCCATAGCCCCGACTAGACCGCAAACGTCCGCCTGAACTTTCCCACTGGGACTTACCCGCCACTTCCAACACGAGCATACGGAAAAGGCTTATTGTAATCGAAGAAACGAAACGAAACAGGATAACACACATAATAAAAATTGAACTGTATTCAGTGAATATGGGTTTTATATGCTCAATATTTACAAAATATTTGCCGAAAATAATAATATTTAATACGTATATGGCTCGTTTCGCTAATTACAGATAATCACAAATCTGTAATTAGCAAAACAAGGTTCTTACACGTCCAAAATTTACAACTGTCGGTGGAAACTTGACCAGTATATTTAGCTTTCAGTAGTATATAATAAGTTAAACATAAAACATTTGCTGAAAATCACGGTATTTTAATTAGTAAATGGTTTGTTTCGCTAATTACAGATAATCGAAATCTGTAATCAGCGATACAAGGGTCTGACACGTACAATATTCACAACTGTCGGACGAAACTTGACCAGTATATTCACCTTTCAGTAAGAGTATATAACGAAATAAAACATTTGCCGATAATAACAATATAATCAGTAATCGGTTCGTTTCGCTAATTACAGATAATCGAAAATCTGCAATCACGCGGCGAAACAGGATCTTATTAAATTACAGAGACAATAATCACAAATATCGGACGAAACTTGACCAGTATTTTTAACTTGCAATCGTGTATAAAACTTCATAAAACAATTATCTATAATTAGCGAAACGAACCATTCACTAATCATAAAATCCCCGTTATTTTCAGCTAATGTTTAATGTTGTTATATACGCGACTGAAAGATGAATATACTGGTCAAGTTTTGACCGACAATTGTTAATATTGTACGTGTCATACCCTTGCTTCGCTGATTACAGATTTTTGAATATGTTTTATGTTGTTATATATATACACTACTGAAAGGTCATAGAATATACTGGTCACTTGATTGCAAAAAAAAAAACGGCAGAAAATGCTCGCAATATGGGGTAGAATGTTCTCTGAAATAGGGGGTGTTTTTTTCTTCAATATGTCTGCTATAGGGGGTACTAAATTTACATTGCGTCCGGGTATGGTTTAACAATGTGCTGCCAGCCCTAGGGGCCTATTATTTTTTTTTAGCAAGAACGCACATGGTGTAAGGTTTTAATATAGAGTGACCCCCCGGGGTGTTTTCAGGTATTTTAAGGGTCGATTATGTTTCAAGTATGAAGTGCGTGTCGATCATAATAATGCTGAACAAACCAAAAAATCCTGCATTATATAATAAATGTATCTGCCGATTATTTATTAATCCGGAGTTCCGTGATCTGGGGCTCCACGCACGGTAACGTTTTAGTAACCTCAGAACCTTGCCTTATTTCTATAAATAAAACTACACTTACACTACACTTTCTTCTATGCTATCGATAAAGAGCCATTGCTCGAAACGTCTAGCTATTTTTAATAGTTATTTAGGACTACGATTACCAAATATTATCTTCTATATACCTTATTTCTATGAACGTAATCTTTTCTGGGAGAAAAAAGTAAAATAAAAGTATGACAGTTTGCGTACTTATATATTTGGATTTAAATCCAACCACTACAAAACAAGTGGTGAAATATCGGGCAATACTGTAACACATTTACATTTTGAAAAACTCTGAACAATCAAAATGTGTTGAGGGCGTGGTCTTCGATTGACTTTTGACCCAACGTGATTCATTTGCTTTTCAAAATGGCGGACTTAAACAACAAGCGTGCCTGTGTGAGTCGTGTTCAATGAGCCTTGCAAGTTTACACTCTGGATTTGCGACTGTTGAAGCTATTTACAAGTACAGCCACATACAATGGATGTCCACGACAATTTAGAGATCAACCAGGCTGCTGAAAGTAACTATAACAAAACTCGAGGTGTCGATGACGATCACGTCGTCGGAACGCCAACGGATCGTCTCGGTCAGGGTGATGATGTGACAGACCTCTTATTTAAAACAACTGTGGCTGAAAACGGTGATGAGACCAATATCGTAGACAAGATAGTGACTGTCACAAAATTAGAAACGGTGAGAAATGAATCCGATACTGCTAACGAGAAAGTGGGTCTTCCAGGTGATGGCGATTTCGATGCAGGCACTTCCGGGAAAAAAGATTTGTTAAACACAACGCGTTCACCGGATGTTGTGGGTATCATCGATGCTGATTCAGATTCGGAAAAAAACAAAATTCGAAATACCCCCAAGATGAATTCGTCCGGTGATTCAGTTTTGAACGCTGAAAAGGATTTTCAGGCTCCTGGGAAAGTCAAAGACGACAAGAAAGCGAAAACGAAACGTGAGTGGACATCCTTTGTGGATGATAACAGTAACAACGACGATTTTGATCCATTTTCTGCCAAGTATATGGTTGGCATGGCGACTTCTACTGTTCAGGTTCCCTCGAAAAACCGCGGCTCTTTGGGAGACAAAATGAAAACGAGCAAAGAAGAGAGTTGGATGGCGTTTGATAATAGCGAGAAGACTCAAACATTTACTGATGCGGAAAAAACAGATTTACACATAATAACAACATCTGTTGATGAGGAACCCAAAACAAAAAATGCAGAGGAGGCTGGTGGATGGTTACAATTTGATGATGAATCGCCACGGTTACCAGCCCGCTCCTCATTAACTCCACAAATGACAGGTAAGCCGATCAAGAACCTAATTTTATTGTATTCAACATTATTTAATGGTTTACTAGTAAGATAACAGTTCTAATTGTGTTAATTAGGCCACACTGATTTAATTTTATGGATGACATCCTCTGAAGACCCCAAAACTAATGCGAGAAGGCGAAAAAAAAAAAAAATTCGGCCAAAAAAAAAAATGATGCTAAAACCACAGGACTACGGAGCAATTATTACGAATTTAACCACAGTGTATCAAAAAAACAACAAGTCTTTATTTGTAGGA